CACACAGTGTGAGTAGTTCAATCACTAAATCACCAGGTTATTTATTACTCATTAGTGTGACGCATAAGGTTCTCTGCCGCCTTGCATGCTTCGTGAATGGTTTCCTCCGCATTTCTATCCTTGCTATGATTTTCCTATTTTCAGCTGTAAAGTTTCGTTGTCTCTACGCATCCGTATCACGTTCTTTTTCGTCGTAGATATGTTGAAACTTTGTTCCGTTAGGATTCGAGTATGTCACTGATCTCCATTACTTCATAATGGACAGCCCAACTCCGGATGTTCGGGCGAGCCTCTTATGTCTGCTCCTGATAGGGTAAGATTCCTTGATGATTTCTCTAGCTCCTTATTCTTTTGTTTTTGTTGACTATTGTAGTGGAGCGGCTACTTCTACCTTTGCTGCTCGTGCAAGAATGGGAATGTCTAGAGAATCTAGGAAATTAATAAAAGTATTTCTATTGAAATTTTTATGATGATCCTTACCAGGTCCTTCTATAGTCACGTAGTGTATACATATTATAAAACCTTAACATATGCACGCAGTAATTATGCTTCCTAAATACTCCTATAGTATTTTAATTATATGTTCGAATTTGTTGTTCTTTTACCTGAGGAGTTGGTAAGTTTTAGACTTGTTGCAACACCACTATCACTCCCAAACACATGTTGGTCGTATCTCAAATAAATATAGTTGATAAGGCTATATCTATCCCATATATGATTACATAACTGCCTAGGTTTGACGGTAGTGTCCAACCTCAAAATACTTTTGTTTTGTTCTTATTATGACACTGTTTTAGTATGTATACTCTTATAAAATACTTATATTTTAAAGTATACTTTTAATCTGAGTGTTTTAGTCCCATTGTATTTATAGTTGTATATCTTGTAGGGTTTGATATACTAGTTCACTATAAACAATGCTCTGATACCAATTTTGTCACACCTCCAAACCAAAATGGCAGAAACGTCTGGGGGCGGATGAAGTAACTTCCTGTACAGTATCATAACAATTCAATAGTAATGAAACAGAGCAACACAAACATTCATACAGTTAGATTTGGAATATTACATTTTTTACAAACGTGATTGTTTAAAATTTGATTACAAATAACTTAAAGGTAAGAAAAACATAAAATGACGATGCCGACCCTCAAGAAGGGTTGAGTACCTGCCTGCTAGATCCCTAAGAATACAAGTTGTTTTGAAAAGCGTCAACTAAAAAGTTGGTGAGTTCATAAGCATTTTTGTACGAAATAGTTTTACACTCGTTTAGAATAGTTCTCGTGGTACTTTCAGAAAATCCGATATTTTCTATAAAAAGAAGGTTTGCAGTCTCATTCTAAAACCGTGAATATATGCATGCATATCCTTTGTTTTTTTGTTATACTAGTAAAGAGTGTGTTCCTAGAAAATCCAATATTTTCATAAATATGATCTGAAAGTGAAAGTAGTTCCTTGGTATCCTTTCCTTGTCAAGTAATAATATTTAGTTCCAGGAAAATGCGGTATTTTCCTTAGAGATGAGTTGTGGTCTTAGACCCTAAGACCATGATGAAGTTGAATGTCATATAGAAAATAGCTTATAGTTTCATTTCTTTCAATAAAACTAATGATGTAAGCTTCTCGTACACCCAAAAATCTTTTTGATTATCCCTATGTGAGTCGTTACAACTTTACTAATGACCTAAATGCCTGGCTTGACATTTTTCAGGTGTCGGTTTCTTTAAGATATTTATCACCCTAGACTGGCCTAGTCTAGCTGTAGCGAACAGCTCAGGTGTAGTGGTGTCAACCCCGTATAGATCTATACACAATTACCCCGCTCTCCCTCCAGGAGACTCTGGTTATAACTAACAGGACTTACCGCATACGCTAGGTAGGTACGACTAAAGGTGTCTCACAAGAGCATTAACAGATTTACATGAATTATGACTCTTTTTTTTGTAAATGATTAGCCATGTCTTTTGAAAAGTGTGGGTCGTGACTTCCAAACTATACCGATTATAGTTTATCTTGTTGGTTTGAAATTATTTATATACTCTTTTATATAAATATAAAAGTGTGTTCCAGCATGAAAAATATGAATTCAAAACATTGTATTTAGGTATTAAAAGCCACTAGATTAGTAAATGACTATACTGTACCAAAGTTTACTGGTAGAGCTATCTTTTAATAAAGGTTTCCAATAGCCATGTAGTTTATAGATCTTAACTTTTCTTATGATGTTATAACATTTATCATGTTAGTTTTGCTTATATATATATATATATATATATATATATATATATATATATATATATAATATATATATATATATATCTCAAGATTTATACCAAAACTAGAGTATACCATAACTTGTACAAATAACAATTTATCCTTAACATAAAGATGAAAAATTTGTAGTTATTTGTGGAATAATCAAATTTTGACTTGTATCCCCCCCCCCCCCCTAAAACATAGAAAAAGCTTGAAAATATAGGGGTATGAAGCTCACATTGGTTTGGTTTGGTGGTGTGACAGATTGTGACACAGTTACAAGTTCTTGTGTTAACATCATTTTATCCGTGTTTGATTGCATTTTTTACTTAAGACTTATTGTAGCTTAAACTCCCATTTATTTGTCACACTTCGCCTTGATTAACTTGTTTACTTTCAAGAATTTACCTTATATGTGATTCCTAAAGTGTATACTTCCATGAACGAGCACTTATGCCTTTTTAGTTTTCAAGGTTTTCATTGTAATATGGTTACAAATTAGACTTTGCTTGATCCAAATCTTTCGGGTTGTCACAGGTTTGTTTGAAATGATGTTGAGAATTGAGATATAATCAAACGGATTCATAATTAGAAGATCTGCTAGTGCAAACTCATCAACTTCATTATTGTGACCACGAACAGCTATAAAGTGAATGTTTGTAAACCCATCAACCCTTCAGATTTCCCAACCTTCATACCAACCATTTTTTTAACATTCCAAGAATCATATTGTGGTTTAGAATGCTTCACGTAGAAATTGAACAATTTTATGTTAATTGTTGTGTTCCCCATAGGCACCTTCTGAATGTTTTCAAAACAAAAAATATGGAAGGCTTTCGTAGTGACTGGCAAGTCTATTTGACATTCCAAATCTTTTTCAACAGAGAATGAGGTTTGAGGCTCCCACCAATAAAGCTTCAAACTGTTGATATCTTAATCTTCTATTCTTTCAAGTGACCAAGGAGGAAACAATGCTTAAATTATTTGCAAGAATTGCTTCAACATTTTTCTTTTCAACTTCCTCAGTATTGATCTTCGCATTTATGGAATTTAGCTCATCCAGCATCGCATCACATTTTGCTTGTTCGACTTGTTGTTCCTTTGTTAATTTTGGATTGAATTCATCTTCCTTTTAGACACAATCTTCACATTTCCTTTTCCTGAACCAAAAGTTACATTACCCTTTTGGCGAATTTTCTTTTCTTTCAAATCCTTCAGTTTTTTCTTCCAAAGTTCACTTCTCCAAATGAATTTTGTCACTATTCTTTTCCATTGGAAGGGTTTGATAAGGATTGTTAATATTGACTTCTGGAAACACTCATCCTTCTCCCATTTGTTATGAAGTAGACCTTCTACTCGTAACATTTGAAATATCATTCAATTTTGAGAGAATTGGCTTTAGCTTTGCATCGATGAGTAGCAAAATGTAATCTGTGTAAGGAGTGTCTTTCGTTTCAACAATTTTGACTAACCGCTGGTTGATCTGAAAATTTTGCCCTTTCACCAACAGGAGCTCTTCGTTTGTTTTGCCAAGATCAAGAGCATTAGTCTTCAATTATTCCCTTGTAACTTTGATTTCCGTGGTTGAGTCAGCCAGAGCATCCATTATTTTGTTCTCGTGAGCAAGACTTGTCTTTAATCTGAGAATAGAGTTTGCAATAGAAGTGCGGTGATCAGCATTATCCTTCTGTATTGCATGGAGAAGTTCAGATAAGGCATCTTTTTCATTCTGGAACGAGGTCTGAAAATTAAGAATCACCTTGTTCATTTCAGAAACATTTTAGTCAAAGGATGTTTGAAATGAATTCATGAAAGTCTCTTGCTTTGTTTCAATAGAATTGATTTCAGAGATAATCTTGGAGACCTGCAAACTAGCTTCCATAATCAGTTGAGAAGAGTTATCAACTAGCTTTTTGTGTTGTGAAAGATTGTCAGCATTGGATTGAACAAGCTTTTAGTTTGTTTCTTGATGTGAAGTGATCAGTTCTTCATATTTTGTAGTTATATAAGATGAAGACTGAGAATGAATTTCATCTAACTTCTTGTAATCACCTTTCATGATCGGAGCATCATCATCATCATCATTTTCCACATGAAATGTAAAATCTGTTGCAACAAAATCATCATTGGACTCTAAATCTTCTTTCATAAGAATTTCTCCATCGACATCATCATTAATAGGTGGACTAGAAGTAAATTCTGGTGCAGACACATTAGATGGAGACAAATTCACACCAATATTGACATTTGACCCCACATCAGATGTGTTACCATGGATGCCTGGGATCCTATTTTCCTCCCGAGGGGATTCAAAAGTAGAAGCCTCTAGTGGAGGTTCTGTATTAGTTGTTTTTTGAGATATAGAAGTAGCAGTTGCCTTAGTAAAAGATAGGAATCTCAAATGGTTTCGTTGAAAAGTGAGAAAAGGGATCAAAATTTGTACTTGTTGGAATTGGAGTAACTAGAGAAGTTGTAGAAATATTTGGTGTTCTAGGAGGTGTTTGAGAAAGATTCAGAAAAGGATCATCAACAACGTGTTTATAAATTTCTGCTTCAGACTCTGGGTGCGAAGAAACAATAGGCGTAGACGTTTGAATTGGATCTGAAATAGTTGTTTGATTCAACACATTATTCTTATAATCTTTTTTGTTGTTGAGAGCAGATTCCTTTTTACTACGATCAACGCTTCCAATATGCTCACTTGACTCTTCTTCAATAACAAACTTGAGTAAGTCTTTGCCTATTTAGCTTTTTAGGTTTCTAAAAAAAACAGATTTCCCTTTGCGCTTGGAACTTTTCACTTTCTTCTTTTGAATTTCTTCGTCATGAATTGATTTAGAACCATCACCCCCAGTAGTAACCACAGTTTTTAAGTATTCAACTATTATAGGATTATCAGCAGGAACCCTAGATACCATGGCTTGAGAAATTGAACCCACAATCATGAAATTTTTTGGATCAGTGGTGACAAAATTTGTGTTTTGCATTTTGGGAATGTCAGCAATAACAACATCTTGCATGTCTAGAACATGATAATGGACCATAGCATTCTTCACCACAATTGACCAAAAGTGGGCACATAAAATTTCAATGTCCTTTGTCTTTGAAGAAGGACTTTGAACAAATTAATCCCACAAGACAGTTCCAAAATTAACCTTTTCTCTAGAATAGAGTCCATATAACAAAGTGTGAAGCAATCAACTTGCATTATCAGACCTAATTGATCTATCAGAAAAGCATTTGAACATAATTGTAAATAGAGCATTCCAAGTGGGAGGAAGGGCAGACTTCTTAAAGCGATAAATAACTGATAAATCAGAGATGTACCCCATTTGTTGATAGACCTGAATAATGGATGATGCAAATATTTTGTCTGGAGCGGTCATATCTTCAGCAATTGCAAGCCCTAGCAACTTGCAGAAATTTGTTTTGGAATTGGACGTCTTCAGCTCTTAAATTTCAAAGTTCATTAACTCCATCTTCTTTTTGTGGATTGCTATTGAATATGCCAATGATAGTTGAGAAATTGGGACATCTTCAACCAAAACCAGAGCTTTCTTCAGTATAGAATGATCCAAGCAAATGATCAAGGGTTGAACCAATTGAGAGTACTTTGATGGATCAAGAAAAGCAACAATGCTCTGATTAAGCTTGATGTTCAGTAGTGTAGATGTAGAAGATTGTTCCATGAAACAGATACGATCAGAAGAGGCCATTTGATTTGATCAGAAAATCATCGATCACAAGTTGATTTGTAGGGTTTTTAAGCGTAGAGAGGAAAGAGATGAAGAGTTAGGGTTTATATGTGGTGTGACAGGTGTGGGATTTGAATTTGAACCGTTTAATGGAGTGGAGAGAGAAAAATCGCCACCATGCATTAAAGGTTTTGTTTCTCAGACGCCAATAAATGGAATCACGCCAATCATTCCAAAAATAATGGTCCAGTAAAACGTTGCCACCTCATCAAATTTCAGTAACCAACTCAGCTGCCGAATATTGATCATCATGAGCTCAGAACATTAGAACATGCACATTGATTTAGACATTTTGAAACAAACACGCGATTTCAGTTTGTAGCAGTTTCGTAATGACTAATCCACCATTTAATTTTCGCAAATTGAAGTAGTATCCATTGGAATTACGACCAGTATTGTCTTTCGCAAGCGCACTGAGAATTTCGTAACAAAACAAAACCCAAAGTTTGAGAAACCAAAGATTTTAGTGCATATGTTTGCCAAAATGAAAAGATAGAATAAAATTAAAGAAAATTTGGATAAGTAGTCATATCAAAGAATCTTTGATATAAAAGCAGTTTGATCCCGAGCACAGATTCTCTTCCTTCAATAGTCAAGAGATACTAAGAAGTGCTTGTCTAGTTTCTTATTGAATTACGATCGTCAACTTGTTAAGAAGTTACCAAAGGCATATATTTTCATAGGTTTCATTGGCAGGCTCGTTTCCGATTATATATGCAACTTAACATAAATGCATAGATATGAAAGGAAAAAAACTTGATTGACTAGTGTACCCAAGATCAAGTTCAGCAAAAATGCTATCATGATAGGAAAGTAACATCGAGATAAGAAAAATGTTCATACAGAAATCTCATAATTTGAAAAAAAATGAACTTTATTGGGAAGAAATTAATCTAAAATCAATTAATCTCATGAAGGCCTCGTAAAACGAAAATTAAGAGATTTTGAACATTAAAAGATATGACATTGAGAAATATAAGAATTTCAACCGTCAATTCTTTGTTTCAAGCTAGAACAAATGTATGGTCACACTTTATGATCTGATGATTCAAACACATAACATGCTGATTCATCAACGTCAACGTCTACGAGTCGGCAGCGCCAGCGCCAGATTAACAAGTTCAACAACGTCAACTTATAGTTGTTCTACTGTAAGCTTTTGTATATTAGGCAGTTATTATATATATATATATATATATATATATATATATATATATAATAGATTAGATCTCGTAACTTTATGATAAGATCAGTTCTTAGTATAAATTAGATACAATCCCGTCAATAAGGGGATATTCATGTATAGATTAGTATATATACTACATTAGGGCAAACCCTAACGTAGAGTGGTCGTCAGCTAGTTCGTGGCTTTGTGTCAATTGTCTTTGTGGCAAACCCCGTCTTCTTGGAGAAGACAAAACCTCTTTTCTTGGTGAAAGGAACATCTGGATAACTTCTGTGTTGTTTAGTTTCTATTGATTATTTCGTTTAGATTAGTTTTACCTTTCTTGTTTATATCTGAATTATATCCGATCATAATACAAATCGTCAATTGGTATCAGAGCAGGTTTGTGATATACTCAAGTTATCATGTCTAATTCAAGCAATTCCAAATCCTTCGATCTCAACGAAATAACTCCCTTCACTGAACACAACTTCTCCATGTGGAAAACCAAGGCCATGTTGGTTCTTGAAACCATTGACTATGAGATGAAAAATATCGTTGAAAAGGGTTCCCATGTTCCTATGTACCAAAGCATGGCAAACAACGCTCCCGTTTTCCCTCTGAAGCAAAAGCCAACATCAAGTTATGATGATGATGACAAAAGACTGCTCAGTCTTGATGTAAAAGCCAGGACCGCTATTGGAAATTCTCTTCCATACCATGTGTATCATCTCGTATAGAATTGTGAATCAACCCAAAAGATGATGGACACACTGATGGTGGCTTATGAAAGCACTATGGAAGTCTAGGCTACGACCATCAACAACCTTAATCGAAGATACGAGCATTTCTATGCTCAACAAGGTCAATCTCTTACTTAAACCTTCAATAGGTTTAATTGTTTGGTCAACGATATGCGCGGGATGGGAATCGTTAAGTACTCATCACAGGTAGTTCTAAAGTTTCTCAATTCTCTTGGGAAGAGTTGGGAACATCACGATGATGTTCTTAAGAACGGTGATAAGATCGATTCCATGGATCTGAATTCGTTGTTTGGTAATCTACGAAATTATGAAGAGATCAAAGCTCTTCATAAGGAAAGCATAAAGGAATCAAACAAGGAAAAGTTTGTTGCCCTGATGTCTCGAAAGAAAACAATAAAGCTCATCAGCGAAGCAGAAAATTCAGATCAAGGTGAACAAAGTGATGAGGATTTCACCGAAGAGCTTGTTTCTAGCACTGCACTTATCGTCAAGAGTTATGAAGAAAGCAGAGAAAACGGGGTCACAAGAGCTCAGTTTAAGGGAAGAAGCTCAACGAAAAGATCCATCTCAGAGAAGAAAGGCTCAGGTAACTGCTTTAATTGTGGAAGTCCTGATCATTTTGTGAGGGATTGCAATGAGAAGAAAGAATCCCAGAGTCCTGAGAACTATGAAGTCCTGTACAAGAAGGTAATGGCTCATATAAAGAAAGAAAACATATCTTTGCCAAAGGATTTCATTGCAAAATAGGAAGATCATGAAGAATGGGTGGATGAAGAAGAGACATTTGAAGATGAGGCACTGAACGTTAAGGGTCTCATGGCACCTATAGGTGATTACCTTGATGTCATATGTGACGCTGATAGTTCTCATGTTGATGTTGAATCAAGTACAAATCTAGGTCAAAATTGGTACCTATAGATAGTGGAAGCTCTAGACACCTGGCCGGTTACAAGTACCTCCTAACAAATTTTCAAAGAAATATGGTACAATGGTGACGTTTGGTGACAATAGTGGAAGAGCGGTTTTAGGTGTTGGAACTTTTGAGTGCATGATGTTTAAGTTGAAAGACGTATTCTATGTAGAAGGAATGAAAGGCAACTTCATCTCCATCAGTCAACTTTGTGACGTTGGCTACAAAGTTCTTTTCAACCGACATGAGGGAAAAGTGTTTGATGCTGAAAACAAAATCAAGCTTTCTGCTCTCAGGGAGAATGATATTTATATGGTTTGAAATGTTATGTTTGACGCTGATACTTTACTTTTGTTTTATGCTTTGCTATTTTGAAAATTTTGAATATAAGTTTCTATATTTTTAATATTTTGGTTCGCTTGCATTTACTTTTTTTTATTACTTACCAAAGAAGTATACATTGTGAATACACTTTCCTTTTCTACTAACATTTCCTACATGATCTTCTCTATCAATAGTGAACTTCTCTGACAGATCTACTTTGAAGGACTCAGCATGTCATTCCTTGAATGCATTACTCTCCTTGTGAAACCGGTTGACACTGACCCTGCATCTTTTCTTCAGCAACAACTTCCCTCTCACTGACGCTGATGTACACTTCGAGTGCATGTCAATTATGCTGATTAGATCAGATAGGGGATAACTGTGCCACTAAGTAGTCTTCTTGGCACATATTTCTTCTGTTTTAAACTGCCTATTTCTATTGAAATGGGATGAAGTGCAGTTAGCTGACTTGGTGCGACTAACTTACATAGACGCTACCACTACAACTTCATTCCTCAAAGATCCAAAGGCGCCTTCAAGGAGACATTCATCCTACCTTCTCCTCCTTCACGGATCATAATGAATGGAAACTTCGAGTGTAGTCTTGGTGACTCTTATAACTCAAACGTTACAAATATTGGATCCTTCTATTTCATTGGTTACAAAGACTGGTTCATGTTCTCCGTTTGTTCTTGGTGAACATGAAGCTTGGAATCGATCTGCAGAACCTCAACAACTAAAGGCATTCTCTCTCTTGTTTTCTATGATTTATGTTATTTGTGTGTGATATGTTTGATCTTTTTTGCTCTCTTTTATATCTGAAATTTCAAGTGGTAGATATCTCGGAAAATGGAAGGGCATTATGACCATTCACCTCCAAAGATTTTATGGATCAAGTCTTTATCACTTTTTTGAAAAAGCTGCATATTCTTCTGTATAAACTATTTCAAGTTTTACTAATTCTTTTGTTTGTATTCTTATATTATTCTCTTGTACCATTCTATATAAAAGGAATCTTATGGTGGCAATTTGAGCCTAGTATGCAACTTATGACACATCATCTTCCCTAGAAGCATGTTGTTGTATGTGACTAAATCTCTTTAATTCTCTCATTAGCGAGACCATA